ACAACGCGTCCCACTGATAAGAAGAGAAATTGTCAATACAAGGCAAAAAGTACCGGCAGTAAGTGCTCCTTCCAGTCCCCCTTCTGGGACCAGACCGTAATTATTCTTGCGTTATGCTGAGTGAGACTGGCGTGCTTAGCTGCTCGTTATGGGAATTGGTGTGGTGAGAGTGAAGCTGACAGGTGCGCCAGACAAAGTGACCCACAATGTTGTAGGGTCGTTACCAATTTGCTCAACAGTGGCCCCTTTGGTATCGGTGACCGAGCCTGGGATAGTGACCGGAAGCGGTGTTGAGCAGGTGTTGCCCTTTGCGGAGAGTGTGAAGCCCGTGATCGATGAGCTAGTAGTATCAAGTTGATACGACAAGCTAGCTCCACAAGAATCTCGAGTCATCCGATTGACGAAGATGGCAGCAAGCTGATGACCGGTTAGAAAATATACAGTTAACAGGAGCTTTGGAACTTACATCATCATGTTTGTGGGTGATGAGAGGCCAATCAACCCTATAACCAGTCAGTACCGATGAAAACATCTCAGAAACAAAACTCACAATCGGACGAATTCTGTAGTCACTGTCTCAACCCATGCCATGAGCAGCGAACGTTGTGCTGTCACTCCATTGATAGTGTAAGTTGCCGCTCCTTTGTAGCGCACTAAACCATCAATGAATTAGTAAGTGCTTATTACAGAGGCCTTTTTGAAAACCACATCAAGCGAAATGTGCAGAGAAAAATAATGAACAGATGGACGGGCCATGACTTACAGTTGGCTTGATGGAACCTATTTCAGAGGATTAGCAAACATGCACAAGAGAAAAGCGCGGAATGTGGCACTAACATGTAGGCATCATGATGAAGACCCAACAAATGTCTGACATTTGTCTGCTTCTCGATTTCAAGGACCGTATTTATATCACCAGATCCGGCACTGGTGTTAATCCATTCCAACACGGTACAATCAGGCGAATCGCACTAATTTCTGTCAGATCTAGCCGGTCTACTTGATCAAGGCGAACTTACATTGTAGTAAATGTTGGTTGCCCATCTTGGAGTAACTTGGATACCAGCATAGCCGTTGGCCGCAACTGTTGTGAACAATGGCCAATGCTCGTTATCCTGTGTTCACGTTAGCGAAGTTCGGGCTGTCTTGTGTGGATGAAGGTTTGTGCAAAAAATGGCAGAAGGTTTTGCCGAAAATATTGCACGGAGCAACACTTACAGTATTCAAGAGAGCTGCTCGAGTATTGTCTCCAACTGCATGAGTGATACCACTGTCAGCCCAGGCTTTGAGCGCATCACCATTGTGAAGCCCCGTGATGGCTGGTGGAATAAGTCCTTTGGAACTGAACTTGTCTGCATTGGCAATTCCGGTGGCAGTAAGCCAGGCTTGATTCCATGTCATTTCTCTATATACATCGGCGTAAGTTGCATTGTTTTGATCCTCGTGTGTGAAAGTGTGGGAAATGTGTGCGTAGGCATTAAGATTAGAAGGGGTGGTCCACCACACGAGCAAAGGATCGTCGCTTAAGCATTCTTTGGTATAATTGGGATAAAGAACCGAAGTTTTGGGCCAGATATCGGTTCCGGATCCAATGGGCTTGATCCACTCCAATGGTGTATCGATTTGTTCGCCATATTCAATGGGTCCAGGAGAGCAGACCTGATTTTAAAAGTTAGTCTTGTTCATTTAGGGGGCTGATATTGGAACGCAAACGAGGCCAAAAAGTAGAAGGAATGAAGAGTCACATGGTGACAGGAATACATACACTTTCACTTGCGGCGATTTCATTGGCTGATTCGATATTTCCATTGCCATTGTGACCAACTTCAATGAACCAATTACTTCCAGCATTTAGTTTAGAGTTGATCTCACCCATGAATGTAATGTGCTGAGCCAAATCGGCCGTGCCAATGCGGTAAGTCGACCCAGCAGGTGAATAGATATCTGACTCCAAGAACATGTCGTCAATCTGTGTGCCAAATAGTGCTCTTCTGTATCCAGTGTAAAGACTTCTTGTGCCCCAGTCGATCCAAGCATGTTGCAACCATACAGAAGTAACAGCCCAATCTGTGGCAAACGGAATGTAAAACACCATTTGTTCTCTACCATTAATGTTGTTGATCACGCCTGCTGAACTTGCGGAGGTGAACTGGCCATCAGAAGAAGGTCCCAGTTGTAAAAACTCCTTTGCCAATGTTGAGTTTGTGATTTTAGTAGGATAGTGGTATATGCCCTTGGTACTCATGGTGGCACCGGTCTTGAGTCCCGCTTTAGGAAAGGCTGAATTGTCGGAAATGGAAACAAGTTGCTCAACACCATTGTTGCAACAAGCTCCTAGTGCCTCTGTACCAAATGCAGCAGATGGGTAAGAATCAAGCCTGACCAGCCGAACGCGGAAAGCGGATTGATAGTTGTAGATTGCTTGCCATTGGTCGGCCGTAAGTGCACTTTGATACCCCACGTTAGGGTAGGAGTAACTCAGTTCTGACATAACAACAATGAGTCCATAGTTTCCTTGAGTTTCTGAACTGTTCAAGCTTGGCAGTGCTATACCAGCTGCAGGAACGATTAAAGTTTCATATGGGATTCCTCGATCATTGAGCCCACTCCAAGCAGAGTATGCGGAGACTGAATCTCGTGCAATGACAAGAACTTTGCTGCTGACAGTATCGACTGCATCGGTAACAATAATCGCCTCTGCTTTAGGGGGGGTAGCAACAGTAGTATTGGCAAGGACAGCTACCTCTCCAACAGATACCGTAGCGAGAGGTGCGGCAGGGACTGTCGAGGTCATAATAGCCTGAGCATTGGTAATCGCAACTGATTCTGATTGAGGGGGATCAACCGTGTCAGCGGGATTTCGGCGATGAGCCCGATGGCCAAGAGCTGCATCTACGAACAAGCTCAAAGGAAGGATATGGGTAACGAGGTGGTACAATTGCACCATCTTGAAGGTTTGAAGAAGGCAAATTAATAGAATAAACTTTGAGAACCACAAATTTTGTTTTAACGAGTGTTGTTTTGTGTCAAAATTAGAAAAGAAAGAGAAACATTGATGGTGATGGATATCGTAGAACGAGAGGTGTACTTGTCCCGACTTAAGAAGTAAAATGAAATGAAGCAACAAGCTACCAAACACGTAAAACTTCCATCTCACTCATGAGTAAGTTACCGCATAGAAGAAACTATTGAATCTAGGCACGAGTTCTGACGGCCAAGAACAACGTTACTTGCCACAGCGCCATAGGTTCGATCGCGCTTTCCACCAAGGCCTCGGACACGAGCTTTACGGCTACAGGTTGAACACGGGATCCAAAGCCGTGTATGGTTTTAGATAGACCTCGTCAAGCGAAGGATATGCAAAAGAAATGAGTTAGGAAGGAAGATAGATGAAAAATCGAACAAGGATGTGTATTGAGACGTTCCAAAACCCGAAATAGCCGACAAGACAGCAGGAAGGGCTGAGCTCATCCAATCCACACGAAAGTTGAAGGGGAGCTGAATGACACATGGTATCTGAAAATACTGGATATATCAATCCGAACAGTGTCGATGGTCAAGTGTTGGCCAAACGTGAGCCAAAATGTGGCTGCAGCAGGCATTGTCTTGGGGAAATATTTGGAGGCCTATTCCATGGCTTTCAGTCCAATGTGTGTAAGCGACTAGGACTAGGAGGGTATAAACATTCATGGAGAAGGGAAGGCTTGCTGGGGGCGGCAGTAAGCACGACGGTCCAATGGGTACTTAGTGTAGTACGCAAGCAAGATGTTATATTAAAGTTGCGATGAGAGTGGCCCAACTATTCAGGTGGTGTCTCAAGGGAAAAAAAAATAAGCTTTCGGAAGTCCTTGTAAAGGGACAGGCCTGATGAGGCTAACCTTGGAATCCATGGAATATATAAACTGCCCCTTTTGGAACGAATGTAGATAATAGATATATATAGAAACGTCCTCGTACCTGGAAAAGATTTAGCAGATGTTCATGTACGGAGTAAACGACCAATCAATCTGATAAGTCTTGGCCCCGAAGTAACTCCAAGAGAAATTCCTATGAATGTGGGGCGCTAGTACTATACTAGACGTTATTAAGTAAAAAGATTTTCCGATCCCGAAGTCCGACCCAGATACCCCTCGCCTTAATTTCCGGTTGGCGACACGAACCATTGTCGCAGTCGTTTAGTCGCAACGAGTTCCTCCATCGTAAAACCCTTTCATCTCTTCAATCCTAGGCGAATGCTACCGTAAGTACTAAGTAAGTGCTAAGTAACCCACCGACTCCACCGATCCACCGAGTCCACCATAGCCAGGTCCTCCTGAAACGAAACCGTCACAAGCTTTGTTCGCTTTTCGTCTGGAAAAGGCGTATGAGAGGCGGGACAGGCTCGACAGGCTCGACACAGGCTGGACTATCCCTTTAGCCTTCCAACCAAGGCTCCCCATAATTCCAAAAACCATCTCAACTCACAGTTGCACCACATCCCTAACCTTAACCGCCACATGCCCAGTGCATCCATCCATCCCCCTATAGGGAAAACGCATCGTGCGCTATAGCCTATACGAAGCTGGACCCTGAGTCAATATGCTCAATATATGCGGAAATTGACAATTGTTCTGTCAAACATTGATCCCTCGGGTATCGAATGTTCTAACATCCTTCTGTGGCGTACGATGTGTACTCTCAGTGCTGACAATGTGCGTATGGCATTATCATCCAACGATCTGCAGCTACCAGGTATTCCTTCCGAAATTCAATATTTGCTTCTTTTCAGTGTATTTTGGTCTTTCGATCCCACCTGCGGTGCAGGGCCACGTGTTTATGGATTGGGGGTTCAAGGTATCAATTTCTGCTAGCCCTCACCCGTATCTGCAAACTACGTTACCAGGCGGAATGCCTTGGTACAGAGGCCCTTAGAGAGCGACTGTAACGAACGATTTTGACAGTTTCCGGATACGGGCTGCCAAGCATTTGCAAGCAGGCGTAGTCGCGAGAACAGAAACTCGCAAATAATCCTATTCCTGGATACTGCTACCCGCACTATAGAGCATGGGCTGAAAAAGTCCTACCTAGTAAGCATCTACGAGTAAGTAACATTGGTAGCTACCTAGACCTACTTGGGGGGGTGCCCAATCTTTGTATCCTCGGCGTTGTCTACCGCCCACACCATCTTAATGCAAATCTTGTAGTAGATCTGACTTTTATTATGACGGATGTGCTCCACCGCAACTTCTTCTGATGATTTCTTTCCTTGACTTGTAACGTTTACTTTCACTTACCACATGTTATTCGTTGCCGTTCACTTTCGTTCTTTCTGAAGAACTCCTCGTTCTTCGGCCTTCTTCATATCATCTATGGCTCAAATCACAGGCCTTGAAGCTGCCTCTTGGGGGGACTTAACAAAAGATTGGTGGCAGTTTGTGAGCTTTCCAATACGTCTGGTTGTTTCCCCTGTTAACTTTTAAACAGATTCTTATTGCATTTATCCTTGCTTCTGTTGGTCTTGGCTTGAGCTTCATATCTTATCTAGCACTACAGGCTTCAATAAAGGGTTATCGAGTAAGTAAAATAGCAAAGGCTATCTTCATACCTTATCGCAGACTCTATAGTCTTAGATGATAAGACCTTATAGCTGTCGATATCTATAGCTAACGTTCTTCTGTATGTAGAAATGGAAATCTGCTCAACAATCCGTCCCTGCGTCCATCAAGAAGTATCTTGTCAAGACTGTCTCTGAACTATCACACTATAATGTCGTCGCTGTCGAGAAGAAGCCCGAAAGCTTTGGAGTATACTTAGGCGGGTTCAATCACACGCCAACAAGTGAAGATCTGCGAGTGTTGGCGCAATGGGACCTTCTTGTTGTCGATGCCTTTCAGGAGAATGTAATTCATGTCCTTTCATCTGGGCTTTACTATAAACCGCCACAGGTCCTAGCAAGACTTGATATAAGCCTTGTTGTGCCACAGCAATGTAAAGATTCAGCAGCGCTCGAAGGTGCCGTTGCCTGGATCACTAAGCTACTAGCTTCATCAACAGCGTCCGGTAGTGATTGCCGTTTTTCTGGAATTCTACTAAGTAACTGGCACGATCAACTGTCAAGTCCAATGGTCGTCGAATTCATTACCTTCATTCATAAGCTTGGATTCCAGACGTATCTCGAAACATCATCTCCTGGATTTTTACGTGACCCTAAAATAGCAGAACTGAATGAAGTAGCTGGGCTGATAATAAGAAATGGCACAATATCATCAAATGGGGACGAACGGGATGCGTTTCAAATGCAAGAGATGAGGCCCACCATTAAAGCTTTTGTTTCCCAAGCATGCCTCCGGCCATTCGTTGTCTGCTTATGGGAGACTTTGGATGATGGCGTAAATCCGACAAACGCGGTGGTTAGAAGATCCTACCAATGGTCAAAGTTCTACAGCGCGCTATCACCGTGGATTGGTTCAAGCTCTGATTTAACTTCAACGGCTTATGGCATAGACCAGAAGGAACCGCTGGGAGCCTTTTCATGGCTCAAGGAGCCTGGAGTCATGGAGGCACATAAAAAGTGGCGTTTGAACCATACTGTAAGTGCATCATCTAACACAGTACTCCATCTTTGTTCACTAAATAGAAAATTCACTCCTTGATTATCTACACGTAAGCTTACTAACGCTGGTTAAGATTGCCAATGAATATATACCAGAAATGTCGGATCTGGCCGAGAACATTCTTGGGGCGCTCTCCATCGAAGTCGACCTCCAGCCATCGGGAAAATCAAACCAGCAGTCATTTGTCGATGTAGATCTTCACATGCCCTTGGCTACTTCGCAAGTGCCTCTGGACCTACCCAGAAATTCATCTGATTTTAACCTACCGGGGTTTTCAAGCAGGTCTCTCACACCGGCAGAGTCAATGTTATCGGTTCGTGCACCGAACCACAGATTCTCCGATGGTCCATATTCGTATCTCAATCAGACGCCTGGGAATCCCATATCAACGTCTCCCACTGGGTCATCTAACGACTTCCTCGGATGCTTTCCACTTGGAGTTCATGCTTCCAGGAAATCCTTTGACGAAATCCTCCTATCACAAAGAAAACTCAGATCCCTTGATCTTCTTGACCCGATCGAAAACACTGTATTAAAAGAAATTGGTGGCAAATTAAACCAATTTTGCAATCAGCCAGGGATAGTGGAGCTTTCAACATGGCATGCAGCGATACAAGAACTCGCGAATCAACTTTGTGGCTTAGCTGATGATTCTGCCACCACGGACTTGATCAGAGTGTATAAGGGCCTTGATTCGGGATTGCAGTACCAGGGTGAAAGTCGTTACTGGGCAGTATTTGGGTTTGAGGAACGGGCCAAGCTTGACATTTTCATGTCAAGAAATGTTCAAGATCTTAGTGGAACAATCTTGCATACATTCTTATCAAGTCGTGGCTGTCCTCGCCACGAATCCTTTGAGGCAGAGAAAGGATTTTGGCAGTGGTTAACACATTCAGACTCATACCTACCTCCACGATTGCTCAATGACATAAGCTCTCTTTCACCATCAGAGCTACTTCGATTTCTCCAGACATTACAGTTATCATCAATCAAGGGCAACGGGGATTTGATCGACTCGATAATATTTGCATGCGAAAGAGAATTACTAGATTCCACAGACTTTACTCAGATGAAAGATGCCTGTTCTGTAGGTTATCTAGGGAATCAAAAATCCCCACAAGATCTCATAGCAATCAGATCGAAATGGCACCTGGACAATAACTCGCAGCATCCTTCCGAGGAGAATGCTCTCTACGTCTTCAACCAAATCAATGATGCAATCACTATTGTATTGAAAGAAAGAAGGTTGAATACACTTCAGATTATTACGAAGGCTCTTATTGAAATTATGGAGGCGAAAAAGATTGACGCACGTATTGACATCATTTGTCTTGCTTTATTTTCTGTTTTTCGAAAGCATGCGTTTGACGAGGCATATGTTGAAGTTACTGATAGAAACACCTTGTTCAATGATCAGAGCGATCAGGCGGCCGCCTTTGCGGAGCTTTTTGCAACGGGAGCTCGATGCGAGTCTTACTTCGACATGACTCCTAGTTGTTTCGGTAAATTACTTTCGGATCGGTATCGGGCCTGTCATCACCAACCTGGCCGGGAGCCTCCCATTTGGACTGACGCCGATCCTTCAACTCCCTCAGCTTATGCAGCTGCAAAGATCGACATCGGAGATTTTAAAGCCAAGGGTCTTTCTGGAACGATGAGATTTACTTTCTTGAGTGTTTTTGCCATACCAGCACTCTTGGATATCCTGCTGTTAACAAGCACTGGTAAAGGTCTGTACTTGAGTGGGAATATGAGCCGCGAAGCTCAGCACTCTGCTACATTAGCTTTGATGATTTCCCTCTTAATATCAGGTATTTGTGGCACATGGATAACATGTGGTGGTTCTTACTATCTCATTTCAATGGCCTTCTCTGCAATGAACCAATTCATAGCGACGAGACTCGTTGGCGGTATTGCTTTCTCACTTGCCGCTGGCTTGCTTGGCTTGATCGGTCTTGGTATCAAAGATGGTATCGTTGCAGGGGTAGTGTTCTTTTTGTACTTGTTTGCACTAAGCACCTATTTGATCCTGCTAGCGACTCTGGCCAATTTTTCTTATCCGGGTACTACTTTTCAATCTGGACGTCCTGTTATCCTCATGATTATCCCGGTCTTATTTATTTCACCAATCACGACAATTTTTGTTCCTGGTTATGACATTTATATCTATTTGAGTGTCTTGTATGTCTTTATATTTCTTCTCGCTTTGGGAACTCGACATACAGCATCTAAATGGACTACATGGCATCAAAATATTGAAAAGATCAGTGACAAGGAATTAAAAGAATGGTATATCAAGACTCACAAAGACGGCGATGACCGCGCATTCGATGGAATGACCGATCCAGCGGCCTTGAAAATTTCAAGAACTGCAATGATTGCGGCAATAAAAGAAGTACGAAGCGGCTTCCGACACAACTGTCAAGATCCAACCGTCAAATCATTAGTGGACAGCTATGACGCAACAATATTTCTATTGAAATGGTACTCGGGATACTCGGGAACGCCACTACCAATGCCATATTCATCAACTTGGAACATGCAAATCAAGGTTGCTCTGGATACTCTCAAGCAAATGCAAACAGGTCTCAGGTTGCATAATGCTTTTATACATTGGCGTCAGGCTGGTGATGAGGTAAGTCTAATTTTTCTCTTACCATGCAATTGGTAAATTGCGAAATTGAAAACTAAAATAATACAGGTTGGTTGCAGTCTTCTCTACTTTATCGTAGCACTCCTCGACAAATGGAACTCACTTCTTGCTGGTGGACGTCTTCTCGGGCTATCGGCGCAGAACACAAGATACCGGATGCCTGTTGGCTTTGCTTTGGCTTATTACCTAATTGGTGCAGTTCTTCTGGATCTCAATGCAGCAAAGCTTCATACCATGACAGCAGAAAGTCAAAATATGCTGATTGGCGATGTCTCTTCAATTCAAGACGCAGTCGATGCAGGTGTCAAGGCACGGAGACACCTTTATTGGAGTATGTTGGGACGGTACTCGTTATTTCATGTTTGGAGTTTAGCTGTGGCCTCTAGTCTTCTCTGGGTATTTGACAGCACAGAGGCTTCAACCCTTCTTTTTATTGCCTATGTTGGTGCCTATACAGGTAAGTACTATCTCCATGATATGAAACGTTTGTTAATAAGCATCCACAGGTCTACTTTTCTACCAGGTACATTTCCTAGACAAAAACCTTAAAGATTCACAAATTTACATCAGCTGACCCTCATCTAGTACACAAAGATTTTTGCGGGCCCTCGAAGTCTCAAACCTCTTCTCATAGCCACTTGCGTTGGCCTTCCTTCTGGACAAATACTCAGACACTTCCTTCCCCAATTCGAGTACTGTGACGTGGTCGCACTTGGGGCAGCAACATGGACTGCAGCATTCCTATCTCTATATTACGCAGGTATTAGAGCAAAACCGGTCGATACGATGGACTCCGAAGGTCGCATTTGGAATAAGATATCACAAGGTAGATCATTCCACGAATTCACAAGTCCAGGTCGTGAGTTGTTACTATCTCAAGACGAGCTTCGTATGAGCTTCGAGAATCTGGATTCCCTTCACGACGACGAAAAATATGAAGTTGATCCTATGACACATCCGGGTGTGGAGATCAAGTCCATTTTACACCATGCTATCGCAATATTCGAAGAGATCAAGGGCAGTTCGGTTGATTCAATCCCAAATTTTGCTCTGAGCGCATTTCCGGAAGTCAAGGTATTATTGGAAGAGGCCATCACAGCTTTTGAAAGTGGAAAGATTGTGGTCGAATGCGTCGCTATGTCTATGTTCTCTGATGAATTCAAGGACCTAAAAGCAATTAGCTGCGATTCCAACAATATAATGAGGGTCATTATTGGTTGCGAAACAATGGTTGCGTTGGAGCAGCATTCAAGCATCAGTATGTTCTGTCAGACGTAAGTGCCATTTCCCGTGTTTCCCCCACTAGTGTCAGATCCCATATTGGAGTCATTCTACAGCTCGATAATTTTTGTGCTAACCTGCAACAGGACTGCCGAAATACTGCTTCACATTTCAGCCGAAACTTTCCACGGTATCTCGCACGAAGACGCTACACTCTTGGAATCGTTGCTCTCTTCCGTTTCACCTTCAGGCCTATTGGAGAAGACCCTTGTACCTCAGGGACTACGGAACTTCTTGAATCTCTCAAAACCTTCGAGAGCCGATGCAGAAATTCTTGCGACCTGCTTCGATGACGAGATTCTTAGACATACAGCTCTCGGATGCAACCCAAACATTGATTGGGAAGGTCTCCCTACAGAGATTCGAGAACTCATTCTCGACAGATGCACTGGGCAGGTTGATGCATTGACAACTGACCAGCATGGCTGGGTACGAATGAACAAGCTCAAAGGCCTGTCAATGGCCACTTTCTTAGCTCGACGCAATTTTGGTGCCTTCGTTGCCACTGAAAAGAAACGATATACACTGGAATTTGCGAAGAATGCTTCAGTAGAGAGGTCCGATAACCATGAAAAGTCTAACATAATGAAGTTATTTGGAAAGACAAAAACACGAAGTGGGATGTCAAAACTACTCACACGACAGCTGAAGTCTCCATTTAGTACAGTTTATCATACAATTGGGCATTGCCTGAAGTTATTCGCAATAGCATTTGTGGCGGAACCGGAATTGCAAAGAGAGCTTGATCATACCATGAAGTCAACTCCAAAGTTCATACGATCGATTGTCATGTTCTTGATAACTGGAATATGGTCATACACGCATTTTTTGCAGGAGCTTTTGATGCCAATATTTTTGCTCCATGGTAGGAAGAATGTAGATACTCTCTGGAAACAGATACGTGGAACAACAGTATCGTTGAAGCGTCAGAGGATAATGATAGAGAGTACTGGAGGGTCTTCGACAGCATTTGTTCGAGTCCCGGATACAGCCAGCATTATTGGTAGACGTATCGTCAACGCTGGGGGAGAAACTGAAGCTATACAAGAGTCATTACTCGGCAACGGTGTCTGCGAGATCCGTCAGTATGGTGGCGTCATGAAACAAGAACCAGCCGACTCAGCCAAGCTTGAACGCATCAGTATTTATAGCAAGGATCTTCTTCTTTTACGCAGAGAAGACTATGTCAAAGGCGCGAAAGCAAACGTTTACGAATATGAGTACGACTTGGAAAACATTCCAAAACAGACAATCATGACAACACGTCGTCGCTATCCAATTTCGCGACGATGTGTGGAAGGGACTAATCAATATGAACAAGTGTTGTTCAATAAGCAAGGTCTTGTTCAAAGTGGGTCCTACATGCTCGATGGAAATCTCGTGCGCTTCAATTGCCATTATAGACAGAACAGCAATTTTGATGATGAATTGTTGAGAGCAGAGTTTGTATTGCCGCATATGTTTTGTATGGTTTCATGGGCAGCTCCTCCTGTCAAACGTCAAGACAAGCTGGACACATGGATACCCCATTCACAAGTTATTGAGGCTACCTTTGTTATCGGCCCCGATGTATATGAGGCGCAATGGTCATACGATCACAAATATCATCCGACCATATACACAACGTTGAATGGCGAGCCTGTCGACACACCGGCGATGATAGAATGGGATCATCTCGGAATCCTCAAAAAACCCACGAACTTTACATTTCGGCATGACGATCACATGATTGGCTTCAAATCATTACGCTCACACGCTGTGCCCAGATGGCTAGGCCTGAATACCCATCAAAATTCTGTCTCCACTTCGAAAGCTAGGTCGAGGCTATGGCAAGCATGGAAGAACAATTCGGCGTTTGATGGTGTAATCATGAGATGGCTTGACGAAAGACTACTTCGACGGGAACCAATGATGCGCCCATATTTCCGAAGACGTGATCATGGAAACCTCAAGTCGGCCGAAGAATATTTGCATGAGAACGCAGACGCAATCATGGCCGTTATCGATCTTGATAAATCAATTTCTGGTTGGGCACCACTTGCATTTCAGATTGCAGACTTGTACGCATTCGGACAGGGAGGTTCTGCCAATGCTCGTACCAGGTCTGCTCCAGAGTTCAACAGCGACGAGCTTCATGTTCTTGCCACAGACTCCGGAACTTGGCCCAATGAAGGAGGAGGAGTGTCTGCATGCCGAAGAGACATGGTGAACAATCTTAAAGCGGCGAAGTGGTATATGATTTCAGAATCTGCGAATGATTTTGGAGTGCCTAAACATCAAACACAAGAGAACGTGCAAACACTAAAAGTCATTCCAATTTGGGGACTCGATTTCATGACACCGACCCATGGAATGTTCAGAGATCGATTAGATTCAGAGGTCGTTCATGCTGTCAGAGATGCGACAAAACTGGACATCCAGAAGAATTTCGTCCCGATTCTCAAAGCTCTGGTGAAAGGGGCTAGAACGAGTAATTATTCGAACAGTGATATTCTCCAATCAACCCGAGCTTTGGTCAACCTAAACGCGTACTTCTCCCAAGGAAAACACTGGACGGGTGTTTGGAACAGTAGAATCGTTAAGAATGCCTGGCGGAATCTGTGGATCTCACAAGATCTTGTGAGTCCAACACCGTCAGAGGGTTGGTTTCAGACTGAGATACCCACAATAGCTCAACTTGACGCCGCACTAGATCTCTGGTTTCGTTACTTGTTCATATTCTCCCTTCCCATGCCTGAGAAGATTCCGGCAATTTTCCAAGCGTCACATCATTCCGTCAGTGCTTCGTATGGAGTTGTGTGCAAGATTACCAGAGGAAGCACATTGCAAATCTGGGATCACGCTATCAGTTGGCGCGAAGTAAATCTCTACCTGTCTTCAGATCTCTGTTCTCTACCACCGTTTGTCAGAAACTCGTTACTTGGTCTTATGAAGCTCACCAGTCAGCTGACACTTCACCACGCCGATGTCATTCTACCTTGCGCTGACTTCTTCAATCCTGGATGGGAAGTTGAAATTGGATCACACCAAGGCAAACTCCAGCACAGAAACATTTTCAAGCGCAAGATTGATCCTGTCGTTAATGGTATTCCACCTGCAGATATCTCAAAATTCAGTCCAATCAAGGAGACAACTTCTCCTTTGCCAACAGTTACCATGCTGTCTCATGTTTGGTATGCGAAGGATATCAAGACTGCTATTCTAGCTGCTGATATCATTGTGAATGTATGGGGATTCAAAGACTACCGCCTCGATATCTATGGTGCAATCGACAAAGCACCACAATACTCAACAGACTGTTTCGAAATTTTAGCCTCCAAATCCTTACCAGGCTATGTCAATTTGTGCGGAACTGCAAGCCCAACTGATGTGCTCAAGAAAACTTGGGTCTTCCTCAATTCTTCTATCTCTGAGGGTCTACCCTTGGCATTGGGAGAAGCGGCTTTGACTGGCGCGCCTGTTGTATGTACAGATGTTGGGGCGTCTCTTCGGGTGCTTACAGATCCTAATACCGGCGACTGCTACAGTGCTGTAGTTGCCCCCAATGACGCACAAAGTCTTGCAAGAGCGCAGATCAATATGCTTGGTCTTCTGGACGAATGGGCTCCTTATGCGAATGATCCTCAAGGTTACAAGCCCCCTTCTATCATCGATAAGCCTTCTGCAGAAGAAGTTGCGATCATTACAAAGCGAATGTATGAGAAGAAGAGCGAACTTCGAGCCCTTGGAATGCGAAGTCGAGAGATTGTTCAGAAATCATTCGGAGGTAACAGATATCTCAGAGAGCATGAGCAGATGCTCTGGATTGGAAAGTCTCGCTACGACATGAAATTCCCCTCGAAAGCACCAAGACCCACATTAAGACCTGCATTGCCATCAGCTCAAGTAGCAAGTAATATGTGGGGACAAGCATCTGTACCTTCTCTCCAGGGTCCACCTCTTCGACCATCCATCTTCCGAGGATCTAGTCCTAGTATCATGGCACGATCCATGCAAGCAGCTTCAACTGTGGTTCCATCCCCCACCCTCGAAAGACCTGGGTCCCACATGGGTTACGGCAGTGGTATCAAGGGCTATCAAAACATCAATGATTACTTCGCTGGCTATCGAACCGGCGATAGCAATGTTTCTACTCCTGATCTCCAATTCCTCACGCCTCCTGGTATCCATACACCCAGTGGCAATTCTATGAGAAGTCAGTCGCCGATGAGGAAAGGAGCATCCTCACGTCTTACGATGCTCTCTAGAGGCAGCACTAGTTATGATACTAGATCTGAGAGTTCCTCATTGATCGTACCGTCTAAACGACTACCCGGAGAGGATACATTCCTTCGTGATCTAGACACCGCTCTTGGGCGCGTGTAATTTTCTCTTTTCTGTCAACATTTACTTAGCGCATCATACCATGCATGGCTTGTTTATTTTTTTCTTTCCTTAAAAAATGTTTCTTCCTCATATACCTCACATTGCATTTTCACACAGATTGTGATTAAAAGTTTCTCGGGTCATTCAGGTTCAAAATTCACAATACATCGGTTTCTTTATGGGTATATTTCTTCTCTTGTATCGATCTCTCACATTCACTTGGTAGAATCGTGTTTATAAATCTATTTTAATTGTTCATAAGGGTGGATTTCTAGGTTGATTGTCAGAGGTAAAGAGATCATACAAAGAAATAAATGGGTATATTTGGCATTATATAGCATTTTAGATCTTCTTAATACATAATGAATCTTTACATCATATTCGTCACAGTTTGCAAGCTCGAGAGCCATTGGTAGATGCGTATGTGAATGCTTGATAACTAAACGACAAGAAACGATCTGCTTACCCGTTTCGAAATCATGGAACCGTTGAGGGCCTTGCTATCTCTACATGATTTGCCTAAGTATGTTACCTTGAATCTACCTAATGCAACGCTTTTGGTATTGGGGCTGAGCACCAACGGCAGGTTGCTAGAATAGCGATGCAATTCGTCAACTGAATATGAGCGTGATTACAGACGAATTGGAATTCGTATAACACGATCAACAGCGAGTATATAAGTACACCACTTTCATCTTATCACCTCTATGTTCTTTACTCCTGTTCTCTTCTCGTTTTTCCTCTCTGAAATCTCTTCAAGAATAGGATTTGAGTCTCTTCAGATCACTACTTCATCTCGCTGCCTACAATCATCTTAAGCAGAAATTACTCACTCACTTAACAATCCACAGCCATCCAACCACAGAAGATCCTCCCTCGCTAGCCATGGTCCCCTCACCAGAACCTGGAACGCTATCTCACTACAGCTACGATCCATCATTCTCAGCCGCCATCGTAGTCGGCACATTTTATTCCCTAGCACCCTTCGTTACTTTTTTCCAATGGCTCAGATACTATGCCGGGGTTTGGGCTATCATGGTTGTTGCTGTTGCCAGTAAGTATTTCTTTCTTTATTTAACCCTATGTTCCGAGTTCGCACTAACGATATCTCTGTAGTGGCAGGAGCAGGTTATATCATCAGAGCAATCTTCTCGAAACATGGTACCGAAAAATCGATTTATGTGGCACAAACTGCACTTATCGTACTATCCCCTGTTCTCATGGCCGCTACGTGCTATATCATTTTTGAGAGTCGGGATTATTTCCAAGCCGAGCTGACTCAAAAGCTTGCAATGTCGCTAAAGGTATGAACGTTAGGGGAGTATTATGTATCCCATCGTTCCGAGGGAAGCACGAACCACCAAGCTTCTCTGGATTCTCCCTCGCTTCATAACTCCTATTTCTGTAATCCGCAATATCCGTGAGTTCCTTACTCTCCAGCCCCCAAACTTCATGTGTCGATAACTAACAGATACTCTTGAGTTGCGCTCCTCCTTCAACTAATCTGTGTCTTGCGCATCACATCTATCGATATAACCTCCGCCGACGCGCAATCTAAGCTGAGTAAAGGGGAAAACATTGCTCTGGTTGGAGTCGCAATCCAGATGGCATGTTTTGGACTCTTTTCCATCATCTTTATTCGATTCAATTGCACATCTCGACGCTTTACTTCGGAGTTTCAGCAGCGCATTACTCTTCTCAACGATAGCGAGAGCAAGAATGAGAAATATGTGATGATCGATGGAGCAGAGAAAAAGTCCAAGCCAAATTTGCAGGCGTTATTACATGTGGTCAATATTACTTGCGCATTGATTTTGATCAGGAGTGTTTTTTGCATAGTGGATTTTGCGCTAGGGAGAACGGGGTATACTGTGGAATATGAGTGGTGGTGAGCGTCTATTTCTTCAACCTCTTTCAGGTGGATGCCGAATGGAGGGGGTAGAGATTGGCCAACGGATGAGAAAACAGTCTATACATGTTTTACGACGGTTCCACTGGAACTTTCACACAATTGGGTCGATCTAACGCAAACTATGTCTGTTGAATCTTTAATGCAAAGCAGAACGTTGGAAGCAGTTTCTTCAGTGGGACTGGCTGGACTATCAAATGCCACCAAGAATTCCATTTTCATGGCGATTGCGAGAAAGAAGCATTCTGATACTGTAAATTTTGTGATTCAGGAACTTGAAGATATTATGAATGCAAGTGTCGTGGGAGTTTTGCAGAAAGTTGTGGTGTTGATTATCTTTGAGGTAAGTGTCGATATTCACGAACCACGAAACAACTCTACAACTTAGTTGATAAACGCTGCACCCGGTGGATCACATTCACTTTCTGTGCATTTCAACGGTGCCTTAAGTTTATTGAAAACACTAGCTTTGAGAAATCACGAGGATAAAAAACCGACCACGAAACTCCAGTTGTAATTCTTTTTCGCTGCACATATCAAATGCTTTGAGGAAAATCTCCTCTCAACGCAACTAATCGAGTTTCCAAGCTGATTCCAAGGAACAAGCGAACGGAAAATGCGACTGCTTCTGCAGTGGTTTAGATTGTTATTCGATTCATCAATCTCTATGCACCCATCAGGGCGGAAGCGTTTACAGATCCAGTTAAAGTTGTTTTGGCAGTAGCTTTCCTGGATGGCGAACTGGAGCGATGGGAAGCAAAACTCTCTTTTGACTGGAAATTTACTGTACGGAGCAGAGACTTGCGAGACGGGAGTTCTTTCGATCGGAAATGTCCCGAATATTGTGATGTCTGGATTTCGCGAATGTTTAATCACTATCGATGGATGAGAATATTATTGAATGACTTTTTCTCGAGCATTTGATTAGGATAACATACTTTACGTCTGAACATTTAGTTAAAAGATGAAAGCATTAAAAATAATCAACAGGGTCGCAACAGATATTTGCACTAGCATCTCTAGTTATTTTGACCATACCACACTAGTGGAACGTCCAACATTGTTACCTCACATGAGCGGTATACCAGTGTTTTTGATGATTTGGCCATTCTTTATCGCTGGTGGAGGAATTGGTGTACCGCAGCGTTTGTACAACTGGGTTCTCGGTCGATTGGATATTATCAACAAACAGTTAGGCGTTTTATCCGCGCAGACAATGATGGAGCGGACCAAGATACGCCGACAGAGGTGGATTCGTGCAGATATGAAAGCATCACGCACAACATGCAATGATACCTTATTTCCCCTGATCCTTGAAACTGGCTGCGAGATGCAGATGGAGATGGAGCCATTGGACTGAGTAAAGATGATCACAACATGTTTGGGGAAGAGATCCGGAAAATGCGGATTGTGGTATCCTAGACCTTACCTAGTTATTGATACCCCAGAAGAGTTAACGTGCAGACTCACGCGGGATAAGATTATACTCCATGGTATCTCTTTCTGCAAAGATAACAAAGAACGAAATACATGTTCGTGAACTGTTTTATTTGTTGACCGCTGAAGATCTTCAAAGTAGATCGATGGAATAGAACCCTGAGTAAGATTGCATGCTCGCTCGGACTTAACCGATATGGATTGGATCTACACGTGATTTTATGTGCGATAAGTAGATACTAATCAGTGAGTAGCTCGAGACTCGAGAGTAGGTATGCAGGTATGCAGGTATTGAATCTTGATTGATCTTCTTCGGCATTTCTATGATTTCCAGTACCAGGGGTTTGAGAGAGAGAGTCTTGTCTTTGGCTAAGGTTACTGAAGATACTACCTTGGTACACCTTGGTACACCTTGGTACTTGACTGGCTAGTAGATCTGACTCGTGGTGTTTGATTTGTCTGATTTGTCTAATTATGGTCCGTGACCTTCTCCACAAACATTTCGTGCATCTTCATAAGAAATCTCCGTTCGCTCAGACGCTTCACGAACACTTTAAAAATACGTCGTCAAATCCGAACTGAATGCAATTATTCGTTTTGGTTCCTTCTTGTACGTTGTTGTACGTCGCTTTCCCCTCATTCTTTGGCTCAATATGCTTGCTCGTTGAACTCGTAGCTCTGATCACCAATATCTACAACGTTACTTTATCCGCTACTCAATAATGACACTTGAGAAACATGCAGCTACATGTATACTAGGTTCACATACTTATTAACCTAACACGTATAGGGAAGCTCATATAGCCGGCGCATATGATCAACATTGCTCTAGAACAACTATCATCATACTATCAAATTCCCCGCATAAAATGCGCTTATCCGAGAGTCAAATGCCAATGGAGGCTTTCGACATGACTTAACGTTGGTGCATGTGCGTCTACTATCACGCAGAACACGCCAAAAACAATTCGGTAGGGGAAGAAATCAATGCACATATTCAATATATATTCAAGATTTTTCTGGCCGGTGACAGGATCTTCGGAACTTAAGCTTTTTGGGGTTCAATCCGAGTGTTCCTTGCAGATTTGTCCTCATGTGAACCGTTAGGTTCATCGAGTTGCGAGCTTTGTACTCCTACGTTGTGTGATCTACTATATTTAAGAAAACGTTGAATTCCCTCAAGTTTGCACTTTCTTTTCTATCTAGATTCTTCTAGCCTTCCTTTCTAGACTCAGATCTCCTCGAGGCACCCGAGTAGTATCTCGCTGGATTCACTGTTCAGTTACCCCTCCCCTCTTTGTCATCATTATTGAGATTCCATAGTGATTCACCAGTTCCCTTAAAGACTAGTGTTGCAGGCAATTTCATTCTGATCCATTTGAACCTTCGTTCTACATAGCCTCTCCTGCTCTGTCTTTCTGCCAAACTCGGATTTCAACTCCAGAATTCCTATAAAGACAAGCAATTCGTTCGTTTACCTCATCTTCTTTGCAAGTATTGCAACGTAAGTTAAGCAGCCAAAAGCAAATAACCCTATGGAATGCTAATCTCAAATAGGTTCGTGACTTTCCATAGATAGTTCTTGGGTTTAATATTACAATGCGTTTTATTTCTACAACCGCGCCTGCGTTGGCATCTCTATGCCTAACCACATTGGCTGTACCTCATGGTCCTCAGTCTGAAAAAAGACAAACCTATGGCAGCTCAGCGAAATCTGCTGAAGATCGACAGGCTGCTGTCAAAGAGGCATTCTCGTTTGCTTGGGATGGATATTACAAATACGCCTTCCCTCATGACGAGCTTCATCCAATTGCGAATAGTTACTCAGATTCCAGGTAGAGCAATCAAAACCATGCATCACGATACCTAAGCTAACTTGCAAAAAGGAATGGATGGGGAGCTTCTGCTGTCGATGCATTCAGCACAGCAATCATCATGGAGATTCCGGAAATTGTAGACGTGATTTTAGATTGGATCCCAACCATTAATTTCGACGAAACTAGTTCCCAAGTTTCGCTGTTTGAAACTACCATCAGATATGTCGGTGGGCTACTTGCTGGTAAATTTCTCCGCCGTCTATCTAGAAACCACATTAATCTTACATGTTCTAGGTTATGATCTCCTCAAAGGACCTTTCTCCAACCTCAATTCGAACGACACGGCCGTCAATGAGGTTCTTGCTCAGGCAGCACGCCTAGCTGACAACATGGCATTTGCATTTGATACACCTTCAGGAGTACCAGCCAACAATCTTTATTTCAATCCTCCAAGCACTGATGGTTCTACCACAAACGGAATCGCAACAATTGGCTCACTGGTTCTTGAGTGGACCCATTTGTCTGATTTGACCGGTAACGACACTTATGCTAAACTCTCACAAAAAGGAGAATCGTATCTTTTGGACCCAAAACCCGAGTATAACTCGCCATGGCCTGGTATGCATCAATCCAGTCTTTCTTATGGCCCCCAATCCAACACTGATTCGCCTCTTCCACTTACATCTCTCATTTTGAAGGCAATAACTGACCAGTGATGCTATAGGTTTGCTCGGTACGAATGTAGATATCAATACAGGACTTTTCCAAGACGCAAGCGGAGGCTGGGTAGGTGGCGATGACAGTTTCTACGAGTATCTCATCAAGATGTACGTGTATGACTCAACTAGATTCGGCAAATACAAAGAGAGATGGATCGCAGCAGCAGATTCATCCATCAAACATTTGGCTAGTCACCCTTCGACTCGTCCAGATTTGACCTTTATGGCCGCCTACCAAAACAAAACACGTGTTTTTGTTTCCGAGCATCGTAAGTACACTCACTCACCACGAATGTGCTTCAAATTAGTAGAACCACAATACTGACACGAAACACAGTCGCTTGTTTCGACGGAGGCAATTTCCTCCTCGCAGGTCTCGTACTCAAGGAGCAAAAGTACATTGATTTCGGACTCGAGCTCGTCAACGGCTGTGAAGACACCTACGCCAGCACCCTCACCGGTATCGGACCCGAAGTTTTCCGATGGGTAGAGAGCAACACTTCTGCCAACGATACCCAAAACCCTCCGCCACCTGCCGATCAACTCGCCTTCTATAAAAAAGCCGGTTTCTATATCACCAATTCAGATTATATCCTAAGACCTGAAGTTCTCGAGTCTTTCTACTATGCTTATCGCTTAACTGGAGATGAGAAATATCGTGAGTGGAGCTGGAATGGATTTGTCGCTATTAATGCGACGGCAAGGTATGACTTCCTTTAGCCCTGTCACTTTTGGGGAAGCTTGGCAACTGACTTTGCAATCATAGAACCGGTAGCGGATTTGCTGAACTCCAAAATGTCAATGCGGCAAATGGAGGCGGTTTCAGTGATTTCCAGGACAGTTTCTTATTTGCGGAGGTTTTGAAATATGCATATTTGATTCATGGAGATGTAAGCTTCTCTTCCTTATTCCTTCCTTCTTTTCTTTCTATCCCATCTTTCTGTCCCCCAAATCAAAAAATTAGACGTGCTCACACCCATCAAACAGGACGCAGAATACCAAGTCGGAGGCGGTGGAGTCAACCAATGGGTTTTCAACACCGAAGCTCACCCCTTTAAGGTCGCTGGTCCTCCCATCTAATTGAATGATTGAAATTTATGGATTTGGATTCGGCTTCGGAGTTTACATGGGTTACGGAGGATTTTCTCTTCTTTGGGTATTCACTTCTAGGCAAGCTAGCAATCTAGCTCCTCTTCTTCGGTGATGAGCTATCAAGCCATGCCATTTTCTACATTGAGCTTAGTTCCTTAGCTGAATGTAAAGTTTTTATCAACTTTTTGATTTATTATGAGGATTTAGATGAGGTTTTCTGATTCCCTGTGCTTGTTTGTTCTCTTGAGAGGTGAGCAACTTTTTGATTCTTTTACTTTTGCTTTTGCTTTTGCATATATACATACATACAAATTATTTACTCCAAGAATCGAACCACGAATTACCATAATCTCAAGCAATTGCACACGCGTCTATAGAAGTCCAACATCCCCTTTTCTCGAAAATTGTAGAGATCACTATCACTACAAAAACATCTACCCATTCAATCTTTCTTCACAAGAAAATCTCATAGAAGCATTCTAGCCTATCAATACTTAACTAACCACACCACTATACTACCCATATAAACATTTCTTACCTCTCAACTCCCCATTCCCGATTTAGTATCCTGCATCCAATATCCCAAAGTACCTATTCATCTAATCTAATCAACAGCAAGATTCATGTATATCCTCACACACACACACACACACACACACACACGAAGGAATCAATAAATTGTCTACCTATCTCACAGATCTTTTTTCATTGGGCCAGGTTTCCGCACAGATTCTTCAAAGTACAAAAGAGTGGTAACTCATATCAAATGCTCAATCAATCAGAATCTACGAGATGCTCGGTAAGTAACAAATCTTCAAGTTCCTCTCCACCCGTCCGTTTAGAACTTGAAGGCTTGATGCGGGAGCCGAAGAAGACTAACACGGTCAAGAACACTAGATAGGTGGGTATTGATATGTTTTTTTTTAAGATGCGACTGGTGGTGAGTTTGGGAGACATTTTTATGGGAGATGTTTGGGGAACTTGACTGAGAATTTAAATGAAAGGTGGAGAATGGCTATGCGATTTTAGGAAAAGGAGTGAGAGAGGCGCGGGGTTAGATGGCTATAATATTTCCAAGGTTGTGGTGTTGAAAGTTCTTTAGAAAGTGGTAAAGAGGCAGGTATGCACTCAGGGGTGATAAGTCAGAGGACACAGCGTTGAGCAGAGGCTTTATTTATCCATCCACATCTGAAATACAAATATGGTGAAAACGAATATATTTTGCCTGCGCCTGTTTTTGATTAAACCTTTCGTTTCAACAGCCCCTTCAAGAAATCAAAGCTATTACTATCACTCTGCAACTCCCATACCTTTCCTGTAGGTCTGTCTTCCCAGCCCAACTCTTCCGCACGTAGCAATCCCCAATCCGTAGTGATACCCCTAATGATAGCCCTTGCACCGCCTTCTGTCTCCAATGTAACTATTTGATCCGTATGCAACCAGTGTTTATAATACACTTCCTCCAGTTTTTTATCAAAGCCGTTTCTACAGAAAGTTTTATAGATGGTTTCGAATTTCGTGAGGAAGCGAGCAAGTAGTTTTTCGAGAGAGAAAGGTGTGAGATGTGGTGGTAAGAGAGCGTTGAGTGATGTTGTTGGCGCTGCGTTTGTGGTATTGAGACCTATACCTACGACCAGATCATAGTTTCCAGATGAATATGAGGAATTGACGAGAATACCACCAACTTTGACATATTCTTTCTTTCCGGGTTTAGATGGATCTTGGACGTCTACTGTTGTTAGAACGGGCTTTAAAGGATGAAGAAACAAACTTACAAACATCGTTGGGCCACTTGAGTTTGATTGGTACTGTATCGTAACCTTTATCATATGAATGAATAGCTTCAACAATAGCTATTGCTGCTAGATATTGTATGAAGACGACTGGTGCTTTATATCCAAGTTCCATAGGATGTTTCATGCAAACAGACCAGATCAAGCACCCGAGAGGAGAAACCCAAACATTGGAACCACGGCCACGTCCAGCAACTTGCGTTGTAGCTGTGAAAGTGAAACCCGTAGGAAGCCTAGAAAGAAGCTTTGAGTTCCTAAAGCGCATTAGAAAGGATTCATTTCAAACGAGGAATAGGGGCTCACTTTTCCAACATCGTGTTGGTACTAGTAACCACCTCTCCATATAAAAGAGTATTTCCAAATTCTTCGGCCTCGCTGGATTTTTCTTGCTGATATAGTCGCAAATTGGAGTAAAATGCATGGTGATTGAAATATGGTGTTTCCTTTGTGCCCGGCCATTTCGTCTCATGGAGAATGACTCGTTTAGGAATAGCATTGTAATCAATGATTCCATCAGCTGCTCCAGCTGATTCAAGAGCTTGCTTTTCTTCTGCTGTGGGAATAACTGCATCAGAAAGCGATTTGACTAAAGATTGAACTGACCAGCTACTCTCTGGTTTCTCAAGGTGAAGGGTGTCGTTTTCGCCCTTGATAATCTCTTCACCATTCTCTTTTTCGATAATTTCTTCCAGTGAAGCTAGCAACTCTGGGACAAAAGGTGGATGAACAGATGAAAGATGGAGGCGAGATAGAGACGGCGCTGTGGAAGTTTCTTCGCTCACATTCAACCCCAATTTTGACAGACATCCTTTCAAGAACTTTGTTCGCGAGTCGTCATCGGCGGCCAAATCTTTTACAAGGTCCGAGTATCTAGGTATATTAATTATGGGGTCCAGATTCACGGCAGCAAATCTGAGAAGCTGTAAGTATATATCCAAGCATCATGCAAACCATACTTACTCTGGGTGGGGCCCAGTCAATATTGCACCGCCTTCACCGACTTTGCAATAGACGACCGCTGCGGGATCTTCTCCGCCATCGACATCAATAGGATGCACATAGGTAGCAAGTGTTTCCACCCCCTGATCTTTAAATTTACCTGCATCGACGAAAACACCCCCGCCATTGTAATATGATTTAAAAGTTTGAGAGGCATTTCCATCCTGAAGCGAGCCTTCAATCTTGACCTCTGCAGCCTTTGCACCCGCTTCACTATGGTACACAAATCCTTTGTAAGCACATCCTCTACAAGTACCTGGGTAGAATTGTAGTTCACGTGGGGCAACAACCTCTAGCTGTTTATTGCCGACCTCGAACTCACATCTTGAGGTACCATAGTAGCCTCCAGCGCAAAATCCAAGATAGGCACCACCTCTACGCACATACTGCGAGATGCGTCTATTGCCTTCTCCATTGAGAGAACGGCAGTATCCTTGGTCTGCACCCCCTGGAAATACAAGAAGAGCACAAGAAGCGGTCCAAGGCTCTTTGAGAATGATATTATCACTGACAGGAATCACTGCGTAACTTGGCGATAGCAAACGCCGTAACGTATAAAGACAGTGGCGGACGGATTCAATTGTACTCCCATTGCCTATCAAAAAACTTAGAACGAGCCTCAAAAACCTGTTGATTCAGTATACCTGAGTAGACCAGGACATCCATCTTTCTTGGGACCATTTTTCCTCGACTTAAATTTTAGTCACTGGGTCACAACCGAGGCTCTACCAACAGCAAAAACTCCCGTTCGACGTTCTCCAAAAACTATTATAATTCTCCAAATCTCACCGTGAAGAACACACAGCACTCAAAAAATGTCGAACCAGTCAGGAAACAACCCCCCAGTTGCGACGGTTGTCCAAGATGATGATGAGCCTGATGAATGGTAAAATCTGTTGACCTCAACAACTCGGGTCTGATTACTGACTCAAACTGGTAGGGATAAACGAATCTTTAGCACTGGATGTGCGGGTGAGTCAAGATTCTTCAATCAATCAACAAGAGACAATGGAGAGATAAGTGCTGAATCAACCGCAGAAGAGAACTCGAAAATGACTGATTGCTATTTTGAAAAGAAAGATTGGAGACTGTGCAAAGCAGAGGTATGAGAAAGCACCTCTTAGCGTTAAATCACGTGGGGACTCAATTGAGACGACGATAGCATGGCTGACTTCTTATGAACATGCAGCTTGATACCTTTAAGAAATGTTGGAAAAAGCATCAAAATGATCAGAGGACATCAACGAAGGATGCTTGATATGGACATAGGTAGTACATGGGTGGTGGAAAGATTGACTAGAAAGATCATTGAGGATATGAAGACATGAGGGGTAGAATAATTGTATGAATTTGATGAATATGGTTCGTGAGAGCCAGGTGTACATTATTATATACAACAAAATTCACTGTATGAGAAATAACAGCAGAAATTCACCTCAAATGGTTTTATAATTGAATTTACTATCTTGTTGTCGGGTGCAGCTGAAAATCAATTATCAAAAGGAAAATTGGTCGTCTTCTGAAGCGCGCCACATTTTCGTGAACATAAAGAAATCGCGTCTACCAAGAACATACATAGATATTTTCCTCACACATCGACATGGCAGCAATTATACATAGAGCTTCACGCTCAATAATTACCGATGCAGCGACATCGGTATCAAGATTCTCAGCAGCATCAAAAGTTACAAGTCTGACTTTTCAATCAAGACGCTTCTCCCAAAACTTTCGAAATGCGGCGATTCCAGGTTCGAGCTACACATCAAGAACGACGACTGCAACAAAGCCTCCCACAAGCTATGCAGCCCCTGCGACCAAACCCAAGGAGCCAGAAAATGCGATCGATGCTCAATCGCCCATCACAGATATGACCGAGGGGCTTGCAGATGAACCACTGATTTTGGATGAGGGATCTAGACAAGTCGACTGGGCGAGATCATTCCACGGATTGTCGTCGCAGCCATTCTCCAAAGAAGCTGCAGATATTTTACTTGCACCAATCCCTGCTGATGACGTGGAGGTTAAGCCAGATGGTATTATATACTTGCCAGAAATCAAATATCGAAGAATACTAAATAGGGCGTTTGGACCCGGTGGATGGGGTTTGGCACCAAGAGGGGAAACCATTGTTACGCAGAAGAGTATTACAAGAGAATATGCTCTCGTTGCTCATGGAAGGTAAATCTTGGGGGTTTATTACTATCATTTGAGTGAGCAGAGCTAATGTTTTTCTCCTCCGCAGATTAGTATCCGTGGCTCGTGGTGAACAAGACTATTTCTCCCCCGAAGGTATTCCAACTGCCACCGAAGGCTGCAAATCGAATGCCTTAATGCGCTGCTGCAAGGACCTTGGCGTAGCCAGTGAGCTTTGGGATCCTCGGTTCATCAGAAAGTTTATGAAGCAACATGCGAAGCAAGTTTGGGGTGAACATGTCGTAACCAAGAAGAAGAAGCAATTATGGATGAGGAAGGATGACGAAGTTAGATACCCGTACAAGGAGTCAAAGTTCGGCGCATAGAGGCCCGTTATGATTATGCCACGAATGAAAGACTAGAATGGAGGTTTGAATGCCGAAACTTTGTATTATAGAGGATATATGATGTTTAAGGTAAATATCTACATCTGTATTCTGAGAAGCAGAAAGAAGAACAGTGTAAAAATCTCCTATGAACCAGGCGATTGTATTTATGCTATCTCTTCCATAACCAGGCTGTATGTTGCGTTCGATTATTGATTTTTCCTTGACTTTTTTCTCCAGGCTGTGGATTGAATTACATTGCCTGCGGATTCCCTCCCCATCTGCTGCAAGCGCCGGCGTGTTGCGTGAGTTCTTACTCGTATTGTCACATATCAACTCTCCTGTCTTTTAATGCAAGCGAGTCAAAGGCAGTGCCTCGCAGACGGTATACCGGCAAATCTAAACTCCTCAACAATTATTGCTCCTCAGCACATCGAATCATTAACGAGCGGACTCTACTTCCTGATTTCGTACTTACCATAGGTTCTTCAAACCTGCTTGATAGCACTTAAGGCTATACACAGAATGACTGCTACATCTCGCAGTCCATTCAATAATTCGGACCCTATCCAGGAAGCCTAGAAGCTTGGTGCTGCTATATGGCAAATCTTTGAGATCAATTCAACAAATTGGTTGAAATGGTTTGCGTAACCTACGTGAAGGTTAACAATTCAGCTAAAAATGTGGCGGTTGAGATTCTAGGTACGTCAAAAGCTATGATGATGGCTAAAATCTAATATTTGAACTTTCTAGTCCACTGATCATTATGCTGTTACAGAGAAGCTCAATCTGTAATTGTGATCACCTTTTTCGGTTCTTCCAGGGGACCATGAAAGCTGTTTTCCATCTATGAGAAGGAGCTTCTCAGTGGTCCCTGAAAGTTATTGTGCCTCTTTAGTCGAGTTGTCACCGCCTTTTCTGACAAGATATCCAGGAATATTTGAAAGACTGGCGAAGGAAGTAACTTTTTTAGGATCTGCGTATTGATTCTCTAATTCGCTGCCTTCGTAACAAACAAGATGAGCGCATGCCAACTAATCCAAAGGCTTCCCTCATGTCTGCAGTAGTATTGTCATTGGAGCATTCGTCGGGTATCTCGTTGAATCCCAAGCCTTGATTGCGCCAAGTGAGAAAAAATGACAAGCTATATCTGAGGTTGTTACTGCACCGAATAAGGTACTTAGGATGCTTATTGGTAAGGATTGCACCGCTCAGAGAATAGGCGAACAAATGAAGGTCATGAAGTGTTGAGCAAGATCGGGGAGAATAGTTCGAAGGCCATTTCGACGAAGAGTCAACTCTCACTTTGATGGATTTCATAAGCAACTTTACTCAACGGTTTCCATTTTTCAGTGGTAAATTCAACTCGGGCCAAGAGTTCTTGAAGAAGCCTGGTGACCTAACCTTACTACAACGGGGGTCACCACATATGTCCGGGGTCGATCGTTAGATTTTGGCCAGGATCTCGAGGTCAACTTTGTAGTGGCCCATCTTCATATTGAACAACAGGCTGTAAACAGATGTTTTCTGGAGGATTAAGATACCTTGGTATCTTGAACCTTGGAGGTAGTATACAGACAGGCGAATGGTCGTATGTGTGTAGTCCACAATGAGTCGTTTTTCATTTTGAACTGACATGGAAATTTCAAGAACCCAGCAACCAATTTCCACCCTACATGCCCACATTTCTCTCATCATTGGGCTATAAATACTTCCCAACTAGGATCTGGACATGGCGATCAAGCACACAGTGAAAGGGCCAATTCTTGGTATTTGGGACAGGTTAATAAGTAGATGCCGACTCGTGCACAGGACAACGGTTCAAACTAGTGCTCCTTGTTCGGATCTACGGATTCACTGTATGATTGGGGTAAATGCCGCAGGATTTCTACTTATGTTTTCTTCATATTAATATCTATAATAAGGGTTTTCTGACACAAAAGGGGGTGAATCCCGGCCGAATTTTGACAAATTATCGTGTTTGCAGTCTTCTTCAGCCCTGCCACCCTGTAATCAATTCTTTAGTCATTTTCAGACGAAGGAGCGAGGGAGCCAATAAAATACGGAGCACAGTTTGCAGGCGATGGCTCAAATTTTTATTCTCCATGCTGCTTTACTACTACTGTCAGCGCCAGGCTTGTCAATCAAGAGCGATGTCCAAGGCGGCCCCCATTTGAACTTACCTAGGAGCATAGCCCCACGAGATAGCAACCCTTCCACTCAGACGTGCATACTTGGCGCAAGGAATTCAGCAGTTTCTTGAAACTGTCGCGCCATCTTACCACAGCGTATCATGAATTGGCTATGAGACTCAAAATACCCATATGGAGACAGGGGTCCAAGGAGAGTGGTGTTTTGGGGGTGGTGTTTTGAGAGTGGGTGGAGGGCCAGTAGCGCACTCTATTCCGTAAATGCATCGGATCTCCAGCGACTTGCATTTTGTAGATTTCTTGCGACCGCTTTTTACTTTTCTACGCGCAACAACCGGTGGACCTAGTGATCAATGTCAACTCCAACTTCGCGTCCTCCAGCTTCCGAGGGAACAAACGGTGCGGTGACTACTTGGCTTCCTCTAACTACTGTTTATCCCATTGTACCTAGCTGCAAAACCGAACTGTATTCTCCCAATAATCTCACAGATATCTACGCCTACGACCCTAACAATAATGCCAAGCTCTTCCCAACAAGATGCTGGCCTTCTGAAGCAAGATCATGGTGGAATCAAGAGGTCTCTGGGATATCGACCATCTCACTAGGACCATTTCTATGCCCGGAAGCATATACCGTTGTCGTTATCAGCATTGTAAACCCAGGCTCCACACTGAGTGGATGTTGTCCTAGTGGTTATGGTCTATGGTCTTTTGCGTCCCAAGGCATTCCCCGCGAATGCACATCGACCATCACCTCCGGAGCCAAGATTACATATGTTAGTAATCGGACTCCCGCCACAGATGAGTATACGACAGTCACTGCCGTGGTGGATAAAGACCAGACGGTTCACGCTGTTCAGATCAATGGATATAATTTCGATGGCAATTCCGCAGTTCCGACAGTGACGGCTTTCAGTTCGAGTACTAGTTCGAGTTCGAGTACTAGTTCGAGTTCGACGTCTGGATCGGCCTCCAAATCCGAAACAGCAGCCTTTGGCTCTACTCCCAGCTCATCTGGAGCTGGAGCCACATCCACGTCGGCTGTTTCTTCACCCCCAGCTAGTGATGGTAGTAATAGTAGTCCAGGACTTGGCACCGGAGCAAAGATCGGTATTGCTGTTGGTATCGCGATTAGTGTAGCTATCATTGCTGCTCTTGTTGGAACTATATTCTTCATGAGAAGGCGAAGGAAATACGATACAGCGCCACAGCAGGATAGTCTTCACGCGGCCTCCCAGATAAAAATGAACCAAGTCGCTTCTCTTCCATCATTGCCTGGATCTGGCGTTCTGCATGAGATGGGATATGGGTATGGATATGAGGCACACGAGGTTGGCAACACGCAGATACACGAAATGAATGGATTGACTTTTGCTGAGCTCGATGGAAAAAATAAACGCTGATATCGGATTTGATGGTATATATGGGTGGTAATTGATTGCAAAACAAAGGCGTTCTTGGCATGGTGGGCATTTTCGCGACATAAAGTTTTGAGCGAGGTTTTGTTCCCGGGTTTAGAGATAATTAAGCACGTGTTCCTCACATTGTATCTAAAAGTTTATATGAGATGCGTTGTAATTAATCGATCATATAGATTGTAACCCAAAGTCGGCTTCCGAGTGTATTTAACTCCCCCGTGTTTTTTGTCTTTTTTTTCGCGAAGGAGATCGAACCTGGGGCTTGATATTCATATGCACACAAGTTTTGAAATACATCAAAAACTCTGTGCCTTTCGCTATCTTGATGCGTATTTACCGCTAACTAGACATATCATTCTTTAGAGAGTATCATACAGCAGTTGCCAATCCTCACAGGACTTATATGCACTGGATAGCATAGTACACCGTGCCTAAACCTTGATAAAGTCCCAGACAATTATCTGTCCCTCTCCCTCTCCAATTTTTCTGGGTTCTCCATATTCCTCGTCCCCTAGCTTTGCCAGATAATCCCCCTTCATCCCAATTTTGCATAGCCTTGACCAATGCGGCATCATCAAATAACATCCACCTTTTGGTGTAGGCTTTACACTGAATCTCTCCCATCCACTGGCCCATGTTACAGCACAATATATGTTGCACCAGAAATTATGGCCGAGAAAGCAACCAGAAGCGGCATTCTGAAAACGGAGCCATCCTTTGGTCTCGGTGCATTTCCACTATTGAGCGGAGAGTTTCAGTATAAGCCGAGTGAAGATACGAGCCGAGAGGGCTCATTGCCTAGGGATTTTATACTCACGTGGATGCTAGAGCCACGGTTATCGCCTGGCTTGGCTAAGATAACGCGCCCAGAGTCCAAAGTCAGGAGTCTCCCAGATGAGGAGGCGCGGATTAGGTAGGTAGAATTAGGCTGTGGAACTGAGCTTAAGTGGTGAGGGGGTTGATTGCCTTGGTCCTCGCGGATATCGTCGCCAATGGTGGTAGAAGGGGGGGTATAGATGGTAGAAGGAGGCGTGTGTATGATAGAAGGAGATGTGTGAGTTGTAGAAGTGGGTGTGTGGATGGTAGGGGCATTGGAATCAGAATCGGCAACTGATTCATGGTCGTCATTGTTGGAAGCCATATTTGATGAAAAAGGGCCAGAGAGAATGGCCAGGACAATAGCGAAGATGTTTGGCTTTGATTGGTCCTCTTCAAAGTTGAATTGAAAGTATGTGATCAATGAGACTGAGCTGCTAAATGGGTCTATTCTAGTAATAGGCGTGCTTGAAATAAGTCGAATGACTTATGGGTATTTTCACGAACAAGAAGCTTATTTTTCGTATTGACTGGCGGTGCAAGTTCAATATTTGCTTTTTGTGAAAGAGAGTCGTACTGTTGAGCTGACTATGTACTTGATCATGCAGGAATTAGCCGCCTGCGGCCCCGCATGCAGGGCCAATTAGTTTTTACTGCGCCGCTCACTGCCTTGAAAAGGTGCAGGAAAACCCTCCCATTTGCAAACCACGACAGGCTTTTGTGAGCTTCTGTTCGTTTCTGTAGTACCGGTATTCTGGCTTGTGTTCCAGAGGACCCTGTGACCTATTTCGACGGCTTCACGCATGTAACTAATTTCACAGGCCAAAAAGAAACTCGATACCACATCCGAATCGGCAACTAAGCCTCACATATAAATATTTATAGCAGTGTTTGTGGCGATGAAATATACAAAACTTGATACCGGCTCCACATTATTGATTCCATCGTACATAGATGATAATGAATCGAGGCAGAATCTTAAAGCCATGACAGAATCTGCCTTTCCTCCAACACACTTATGGTTGTTCTAGGAATCACCGCGATCATCACTCTTACCTCGCACTTACCACGGACAGTAACAGTTGGGCTGTCCTATGCGTCTCCAGTTACCCCCTTGGAGAAGCTCTCAAACAATCACCTTAAATGGTATCTCATCGTCGAAAGCAATTGAGCGCTGCCAGCTCTGTCTGAATCGAAAACAAGAACTAGATCAGCGAGATCGATGGGGGTCGATATGCGGCCTCCAAAATGATAGGTTGATGATGAATCTCTCAAGGGAACTTTGAACGACCATTGAGTTCTTATAGGACCTCAATAAAAGAGTGCATTATTCCTAATCTTCGTGATGATGAGATAACTGTGATGTCATCTTATAGTTTGATATATCTTCTCAATTCCCACTGCTAAACACTGAGAACACACAAGATTGACAGCTTTGCTGCTCACTTGAGCATGGTTGACTGTCGACGCATGAACCATTCTCAATAGACATATGTAAGAACAGGAGGTACTAAGACGATGACAAGGCATGCCTTCAGTTAAGTAATAGTTTAAATATAACCAAATCGCAGATTATAGTGCCCATAACAATGTTTCTCAGAATCTTGTTCTCCATTGATGAAAATCGAAATAGATATTGTGGCTAATACCGCGGCTTACTCAGCCGTCCCTTGATAACAATAAACCATATGTAGGAGGTAGGTAAAGACACCTCTCAATAGCACCACAACTCCATGACCACGATCAAATCCTCATATAAATCTGACAACTCGCATTGCAAAGTCCCAGCATCACAATTGCCACATGCGCAACAATCCCATCGATCCCTCCACAAAGAGACGAAACATACCACTTTGCGCCCCAGAGCTATACCAGCTCGCACCCTCGCAAACCTCAGAGCCAAAGATTGATAACTCGTGCAACCTTCCAATTCCTTAATTCAAGATGGCTCAATACTTTCTTGATTTATTATATACCCTCACAAACTGCATGAGCTGTTTTCCGGGCTCTCCGCAGCTCAAAATAAATAATCGCAGTTTCAAGATATTACGATTACTGGGCGAGGGCGGATTTTCCTACGTCTACCTCGTCCAAGATACCAGCAGTGACAACACCTACGCTGTGAAGAAAATTCGATGTCCATTCGGTCAAGAATCCGTGGCCCTCGCCATGAAAGAAGTAGAAGCCTATGCGCTCTTCTCGCCGCATCCAAATATAATACACAGCGTGGACTACTGTGTCTCTGCGGATCGATCAGATCCAGGAGCGAAGACGGTGTATATTCTGCTACCATACTATCGACGCGGAAATTTACAAGACATAATCAATGCGAACCTGGTGAACCATACGAAATTCCCGGAGAAGAGACTGATGGTTTTGTTTTTAGGAGTTCTGAATGCACTGAAAGCTATGCATCAATATAAAGTTAGAGGAGGACCAGGTGGTGCGAATAGTGTGAATAAGGCGAAGAAAGTAAGGGCGGATGCGGCGCGAGCAGACCAGGAAGCTGAAGAGGAAGTGGAATCGAGGAGGGGAAGACAGAGAGGGAGGGAAACCGATGAGGATAGTGAACAGCAGGAACCACTCATGGATGGGGAAGTTACAATGAGTCAAGAAGGTATTGCGCCAGGAGGAGCTAGGGCGTATGCGCATAGAGATATTAAACCAGGTATTTCAAAGGGAGAATACAATGCGTGAATCTATCTAACATCAGAATAGGAAACATCATGATTGACGACGACGGCGTCCAACCCATCTTAATGGATCTCGGATCCCTAGCTCCCTCACCCACACCAATAACCTCCCGATCACTCGCCCTAGCAGTACAAGACCAAGCAGCCGAGCACTCCACCATGCCCTATCGCGCACCCGAACTCTTCGATGTAAAAACAGGCAGTACTATCGACACCAAAGTCGACATTTGGTCGCTAGGATGCACGCTATACGCATGTCTTGTCGGGAAATCGCCCTTTGAGATGCGCAGCGATGAGACAGGAGGAAGTCTGAGCATTTGTGTATTAGGTGGCGATTGGCGATTTCCCGACGAAGGAGCTGGTGGAAAAAAGAAGACCACAAACCAGACGGGACAAAGTGAAGATAGTGGTATTAGCGAAAGTATACGGGAAGTGGTGCGGAAATGTTTGAAGGTGGAACCCAATGAGAGACCAGATGTAGATGAATTGATGGAGATTGTACGGGGGGTAATTGAGGAGTTGCCCGAGGATGGCCCTTCATGATCGTGAATGGGACAGAGTGGGCCAAGTGGGTATAGGATATGATAGGACAGGACAGGACGCGATATGGTTTGGTTCAATTCGCCATGGATAGTTTCCTTGGGAAGGAAATTACCAAGGACGAGGATTAAAACGAGGCGTTATCAAGGGCGGGGAAAGCAGTGCTACCCAAGGCGATGAATAATGAAGAGTTGAGGATGGTCTCAACCAACCAGCCTAAAAGTCAAGTCGCGTAATGCAATAGATGTGTGTTTCTGTGATCTACAATGTCTATAGTCAACAAATTGACTCTATCTTGGCAATATAATTAAATTTCGTAAGAACATTTCGCTCGGGTCTAGTTTAGATTCTATTTTCGAGTCTGGATGCCATCACCTCACTTGTTCAGACGGAGACGGATCTTTGACATATCTTTTCAGCGTAAGAATTGAGGTGTTATATACAAGCGAGCATTAATCTAGATTTGTATGGTATTATTAGCGTAGCGAGACGTATGTGCTATTATATCCGAGCATCTAAAGCTCAAGTTCTATGTATTAGCTAAGTTTTCAATATAAACCCATCATCTATCTTCTCTGCATAACATCCGAGCATGCCACGTTGACGATGACAGACACGATTATTCTCTTCCACATCCACAAAGTTTGTACCGCCATTTCAAGCCAATATTCCCTTCAAAGAAGCCAAGCAAGTTGATGGATATCTTACAACTCATCATCATTCGACAATTGAGATTCCAAAGTCTTTCTTCTCTTCTGATGCGATGCATCTACCTCGCTACGATCCATACCAGCATCATGACTACCTCTCTTCCCATTCGTACCTCCACTTCCAGCAATCAACCCAGCAGCCAGCAATCCCTCTCCCACATCAGAAAATCTACACATAACCTCCATGAATCCGTCCTTTGTAGTTCGGGATTGGAATTTCTTTTGCAGCTGCTTGAGCAAGATAGCGCGATCATTCTCATTCCGCAATCCTCGGATGAACCTTGCAATGAACTCGAATCGAGACTTGCGTAATTTGATCGCGTTGTTGTATTCTGTTGCCTGAGCTAGGTAGGCCTCGATAGTTTGATCAGGGGCCTGCGAGATATTGATCCAGAAAGGGGGATGGGCAGCTTTGCGGGATGTCGTATTTGGTAATGGCTTGCTTGATGGTGGTGGGACTCTCTTGTTTGTCGGTGTAGTAGCTACGAGTGGTAGTCGAGGGGCGAGGGGTGGACTCATAGAACCATCATGCGCGAGTGGTGAGATTGCTTGACTTGATTGGCGTCTATTTGGCGTACGAGGGCTGCGGCCAACAAGGGATGTATTGATTTGTGGCGACAAGGCTGAAACGAATTGTGAAGCTGGTTGAGGCTGCTTTGCAGTAGATGTAGACATACGTTTCTCAAGCGCAGTGGTATTTCCCCAAGGAGAAGCGATGGCAGATGGCATTGGCAATTGCTGCAGACCAGCGACATCTAGACCATGATCAAACAAAACAGTTTCAGCCAACGACTGACTCTTTTGCAACTCTGTATAACCATTTTGAGCAAGAATCGGCTTTGCAGATGCAGTTTGTAAGCCTATGAACATCAGTCCCACTCTCGCAATCGCAACCACATCACCAGCACAAACTCACCCATCAAACCACTCAACCTCTCCATCTCTTCCTTCAAACTCTTCACTTCACCCTCCCACCCTTTGCTTTTCTGTATCAAATCTCTCCACTCATTTTCCAACTTCTCCAATCGATTCTCAGTATTCTTCAATTGCTTTTGGGATTCCTCAAATCGTCGTTCTGCATCTGCAGATGTCTTATCTACCTTAGTTCTCAAATCATCCAAGATTGTCAAGAGAGCACGATGTTCCTTTCGAAATTGTAAATTGACTATGCTTTGAACGCCATTCACAGCTCCTTGACTCAAACCAACACGTTCGAGAGGTGACTTCGCGAATACCACTGCCATAGTAAAGACACAAGAATGACTTATTTAGAGAATGATGAGACGCCAATTAATATATGATGCGATATTAATAAATCTAGTACGCTCAGTACTACATGAGAACCATGAGTATTATACGTAAGAAAATTGTTGATGGCGTATTAGTGAAAGGTGAAGTTCGACGTGAGCCTCCAAGTTCCTACTCAGGTTAGCGAGCTCGCCGCCTGCGCTTGTGACACAACGAACATTGAAAAAAAATGAGTGACTGTGATTTGACGGATGACGAGTCAGAAAGCAAAACATGGAGACATCACTAAAACATTTGATTATTTTTATTAAATTTTTGATTCTTTATTTTTGCCTGGATCTATGGAAAATGATCTCAGCATCTATCATCAATCGTACTACATGGAATGGACCAGTTTTGAGCCAACTGTAGGTAGATCTGAGTAGACATAGAGGTTGTAAAACAACCGATGAGGAATCCCTAAATACAGAGACTGAAAAGCAAAGAAGAACCCCCCGAGCCTCTAATGCCATAAAATACGCAAGAAATAATCCAGCTGCACCTACCAATGCAGCAACTTTTATGCTACCCATTGACCAAATCCTCACGCGCCGGGCGAACCAGCTACGCTCACTATCACTGCCCTTACAAAGGGAGTTTCGATGCTGTGGTCCTTTTATAGACATTCACGCCCGACAACTCGTGATTTACCAAATTGTATATTAAAGAAAATTAAGCTTAGATGAGATCAGCAACGTTCATTGGCATCTCCTCGATTTGAGTGCTGTAGAACTGCTCGATTTCTCTCATCATGCGGACATCATCAGCGGTGACGAAGTTGATGGCAACACCCTTACGTCCGAAACGTCCTCCACGACCGATACGATGGATGTAGTTCTCACGGTTGGCTGGGAGATCGTAGTTGATAACCAAGGAAACTTGTTGAACATCGATACCACGAGCCAAAAGATCAGTGGCGATCAAGACACGGGATGAACCGGAACGGAACTCCTTCATAATCAAGTCACGTTGACCTTGGTCCATGTCACCGTGCATGGCGGAGACGGTGAAATCACGGGCAGTGAGTTTGTCAGTCAACCAGTCGACCTTTCTTCTGGTGTTGCAGAAGATGACTGCTTGTGTGATGGTGACGGTCTCGTACAAATCGGAAAGGGTGTCCAACTTCCAGTCTTCCTTCTCAACAGCGATGTAGAATTGCTTAATACCTTCGAGGGTAAGTTCGGCCTTCTTAACCAAGATACGAACGGGGTCACGCATGAACTTGGTGGTGACCTCAAGGACGTCTTGTGGCATGGTGGCGGAGAGGAGGACAACTTGGGTGGATTGAGGAAGGAGTTGGAAGATGTCGTAGATTTGCTCGGTGAAACCACGCTGGAAGGATTGTTAGTGAAATTGTTCTCGAGCAAAGCTGGGCGATTCTAAACTTACGGAAAGCATCTCATCGGCCTCATCAAGAACGAACATCTTCATGGAGTCGGTCTTCAAGAAACGTCTTTGGATCATGTCGTGGACACGACCTGGGGTACCAACAACGACTTGAGGACCATCTTGAAGGGCCTTCATGTCATCACGAACACTGGTACCACCAATGCATGCGTGGCACTCAACGTTCATGAAGTCACCGATGGCAACAACGACCTTTTGGATTTGTTGAGCCAACTCACGGGTTGGTGCAAGGATCAAAGCCTGGCATTGCTTAACGTTGGGGTCAAGCTTTTGGAGGACGGAGATGGAGAAAGTGGCGGTCTTTCCGGTACCAGATTGAGCCTGGGCAATAACGTCATGGCCTTTTATGATGTATTAGATATGCTGAAAAAGAAGTCGCATATTTGATGAACTCACCCTTGATGACTGGCATAATAGCACGTTGTTGGATAGCGGATGGACGCTCGAAACCATAAGCGTAGACACCTGTAATTCCTTGTTAAATTTGCCCCTCCAAATATGGTTGTTCATGGATTTTATTTTAAATCGTACCTCGGAGAAGCTCTGGCTTCAAGTTCATGGTATCGAAAGAGTCGACGGTCTCGTCATAGTTGGACTCGATTTGTCCTGCAAGAAACAAAAGTGGTCAGTCTTCTTATTCTATTGATGATTTCTTCTCCTTCCCACAATGCGATCTGGTAGGATTCATCTTCAGAACATTTTCAGAATATCGGTGTAACTCACCCTCTTGGATCTCCTCGAGACCCTTATCAGCGGAAGCCATGTTTGCGGGTTATTTGAAGTAAAATCTAGATTACAAGCTTTTGCTTGAAATCTAGAAAATGATAAGGTTGGAAGGTGGAGGTGGGGTGAAAAAATGCGCAAAGTACTCTGAAAAGAGACTGCGACGTGAAGCTCTTGTTTATTTGGGGGGGGACTAGATAACAACTCCCGAGAACGAGAATTTATTGTATATCTAGTGATTTTGATTGTTTGATTGTGTTTGTAAAAGGTTGTGGTTTGGAGAGAGAAGAAAACGAAGAGGAAGGAGGGCTTTGATATTCTAAAAAGTTTTTTGGGGAAAGGTCTCGCTTAATTTTTTTGTCCCGCTACTATTAGTCTCGAGCCAGTCACCAGTAGTGAAGTACATAGATGGATAGATGGATGTGTTCCAAGGTAGGTAATCGATAATAGGAATCAAAAAAAAAGCAAACAACTACTTCGATCAGGCTGATTTAGGAAGTACTTACTGGTTAGGTACATACCATAAAAGTAAAAAAATCATTGTTGAAAAAAGATTCATCCAATCAGCATTCTTTATATGCGTTTGTTTCGGATCCTCTTAGGGGGAATTCGACTTGTTACCTATTTGGGTATCTTTTTATGCCTGAACTAGAGATTAACTAAGATACCTACTCTTCGATAGATTATGAATGAATGAATTCAAACATTAACTCATAGAGAACCAGTCATTATAGACATTTACTACATGCTTATTACTTATTACTAAGTATTCAATCGAGTATTATGGCTATCCATAGCTGCAGTAACAGACAGTTAAACAGTTTCAGACAGTCCAGTGCAGTGCCACTTCATCAGCCACCTTTGAACTGTTAAAGTGGCGATCCACCCCCTCCATTTTTTTTGGGCTCCACGGACCACTCACAGTATGGTGAAGAGAAAAAAATATGTTATATACATTTGATTCTAAAAGAGACAAAATATAATTCACCCCTTCTTTCTCCCTCTCCATCTCCCTCTCCCTCTCCCTCTCCCTCTCACCCTCCTTTTCCTCCCCATCCCCATCCCCATCCCCTACTTCATACCCATACATATATACCTGGTACACATTATCCCTAAAAAGTCTCAACTTGGATATCGTATTTATCTCTTATCATTCTTCCCCTCCTTCCTGCCATCTACCTTTGTTGCTTCCATTTCCAAACTTTGATATCAACCATGAAATCCGCCTCAAATTTAGATTTTTCAACTCCAATACAGCCTAGTGGCAATGGTACCACTACCGTACCAGTATTCGAGTCAGCAGAGATCGAAGAGTCATCTGTGTCCATCCCACCTCATCCTTTAGGTGTAAAGCCTTCAGGGAACCAATATACAGCCACCAGCAATGCTCGCTACGCTATTGGATCTTTTCAGATCTTGCCAGATGAAGTTGTGGCCATATTATTAGAATCTTTGGATCCTGAATTGTTAGCCTTGCTTGGTTCAACTTGCAAATTTTTATATGCATTCACTCGATCCGAGGAACTTTGGAAACCTTTATTTATTGAGTGAGTAATTTTGATTCTCTTTTTCATTTTGTTTTATGGAATTATATCAAATGAGATGTCGTTTCTGTTTTGGGAAGTTGGAGTCATGGTAGAGAAAGACAATAGGAGTCATTACAATAGGAGTCATTCCTTTGAAACTACTAGCGTCTAGATGTTCAAAAAGATGACTCTTTGTCATATTTCGAACAGGGGAAATAGGTAGTTTTAGGAAGGATTTTCATGAACTCCTTGGTTATTGGCGAGTTTTTAAAAAGAGGAAGGATCATTTGTATTTTCTATCAAAGCAACAGTGGGGATTATCCACCATTCATGTAGTTGGGATATTCTATATCCATAAAAGTTACTTAGCAAGCGAAGGCTCCAATACATCAAGTGATTATTTTGAAGGTTCGAATATATTTACGGCCAGGGAGGTTATGCTATATCAAGTGACATTTTACAAAGATACCAAACCCAGCAGCTACGAAAATCATACAGAGCAACTGAAATATACACATCACCCTTTGACCACAATTATTTGCACTCATGTACTACCAATACTCACCTAATCTGACTGCTAACCAAAACATAGGTCCCCAGTATCCAAATTAGGCACTTTCAAATGGCGAGGTTCATGGCGTGCAACTTTCCTCAACATAGAAGAAAGCCTGCTCTCAAAAATCCAATGTAACAATGTCTTCTCCGACGTCTTATACCGACCATTCCTCTGCACCCACACCCCTCTAACCCCATACACAACCAACATCCCTCTCAAGAACCAAATTCCCCGCCTCGAAAACCTCACACCCGAAGAATTCACCTCAACTTGGAGCGATAAACCCTTCATCCTCACTGTCCCAGTGCGAGAATGGCCTGCTTATCATTCCTGGGACACCGAAGCTCTCCTCCGCCAATACAGCGATATCAAATTCCGCGCCGAAGCCGTCGACTGGTCTCTCAAAACCTACATCCAATACATGAACCACAGCGCCGACGAATCGCCCCTCTACCTCTTCGACCGCGATTTCCTCTCCAAAATGAACCTCTCCAACCCCCAAGCTAGCGCGACCCCGCCCTACCAAATCCCCTCCTGTTTCGGCGAAGATCTCTTCCAGGTCCTCGGCCCCAACCGTCCCGACGACAAATGGCTCATCATCGGCCCCGCCCGCTCAGGCTCAACCTACCATAAAGATCCCAACGCCACCTCCGCCTGGAACGCCGTTCTCCGCGGCTCAAAATACTGGATCATGTTCCCCTCCACCCCTTCTTCTTCTCCCCCACCAGGCGTATACGTCAGCTCCGATCAATCCGAAGTTACATCTCCCCTTTCCATCGCCGAGTGGCTCCTAGGTTTTCACTCTGAAGCGCGTCGCACGCCCGGATGTATCGAAGGCGTATGTGCTGCTGGGGAAGTG